GTGATACTGTAGCTGACTCGACAAAGGCCCTCGCTTGAATCGAAGACGACAGGCCAGCTGCCGGACTCGTCAATACCTCCGAGCTGTTTCGTCAACTGCTTCAACTGCATCGGAGTCATCTGCCTGCTGCCTTGCTTAAAGGCGATGCGGAAGCTGCCAAGACTGTGGCCTAGCCAATCCCAAGGCTTGGACTTATCCCATTCACTCACGGGCGGGCCAAACCCCTTTCTTGCGTTCTCCGGAAGGCTCCGCATACGACGATTGGCTCCGCATATGCTGAGGTCCATGCTCAAACTCTACATGAACATATTTAGACTTTTCTGGTCCTCCTCCACAGCCAAAGTCGCAACGATCTGCATAAACCAAGCAGGTGTCAACTTGCTCAGCTCCGTCACCCACTCATCATACCACTTGCATAGTTCTGCGGCTTCCTCGCTGTCGCGAATCTCCGCGCGGCGAATCTCCACCGCAATCGCCTGAGCTCTTTGCACCTTCTTGGGTAAGGCTTTGTCGTCCTTGAGCTCCTCTTCTTCGACAAGGATGCCCTCGCTGACAAGGATGGACTTCAGCGGCTCAAGGCGTTCGAGCTCCTGTCTCGCTTCATCCTCCCGCTGCTTGAGCTTGTGGCGACGCTGTGCCCAAGCCACGTCCCGTTCACTTGCGGGGGTCTTTGGCTCGTCGCGGACTGCTTTCTGAGCTTCCTTCTGGTTCTCGCGAGCTTCGTAGATCCGTGCTCGTCTTTGTAGCATCCAAAGACGCTCTGCCTTGTCGTGGGCTTCCTGTCGCCAGTCCTTATTCTCCTTTGTTGCGTACATCAGCTTCAACCACTGGATTTCATCGACGTCTGGGAAGTCGTCGTCGGAGTCCATGTCGGAGGTAAGCTGCGAGCACCATGAACACTCGATGTCTCGGCTGCTCACCTTCCTATGCGCCATGGCCAAGAAAGCTTCTCGGGAGGTTGGGCCGAGGATCTCGAAAGTCTTGGACTGAAATCTGATTCGAGCCCAACAAGTTATCCGGGAGCCTCGCTTCACTCTTTGGCCCAACACCGCCTGCATGACCCTAAACCCTAAACCCTAAACCCCTAGACCCCGAAACCCCTAAACCCTGAACCCTGTTTGCTTCGGCGATATCGGCCCTTTGAAGCCCAAGATCAG